TTGGATATGTAATAACAAAAAATTAAAATAGGGGTTAAACATGTATTGAAGCAAACATGCATAATGTAGTTTATGAATTAATAGAATTGTTTAAAAAATATATAAGGTTTAATTAGTGAATATAAATATTAATGACTTATGCAACAAAAGTACCTTAGGATCAAGGGTTACAAGATTTTTTTCCCAAGCCACAAAAGAATGTAGCACATCATTTACGGTTAACATGACTTTGTCTTTGTTGGTACGCACGTGGCTGGCTTTATTGCTTCATCCACATAAACTCTATTTTAATCATTCGTGAGTGGCTTTCCATGTATTGTCTGGTTTTCATCGGTAGAATACTGTACACAACCCTTCGCAACAACATTGCTACGTTCACACACTGATAAGAAACATTTTATTTTCTACAAAGATATAGTTGCGCATATTAATAAATTTATAAGTATAAAGTTTAACTGACACATGTATATCTATGTACATGTTGAATATACGTACTTTGGTCAATGGTAACAGTGTGTTAGGTTGAAGTGTTGCTATGACACTTTCGTGTGGCTCATCATACGTAGATGCAACATTTTCTTCAACATTATTCAAACTTTCCTAATAGTGTTCCATGCTTAGTCTATGAAAAGCAGTTGAAAATTTTGGAAAATACAATGTCAAAATTATTATTATATATTAAGTTACATTATTTTGAAGATCTTTGGGTGGTGTTTGCGAAGTTGATGTACCCACCGATTTTTTTTCTTTTCTAGGATGACAATATACAACGAAAACATTAACTAGTAGTCCATTGTTAAAAAACTAACATAAAAAATTCACTTAATTACTTACTTTTTCTGTAGGATACTTTTTTGAGCTGAAATAATAGTTATTGGAGACTCCACAATACTATGATTGCCCACGGTAGGAACCAAACTCATCAGATAGTCAACTTTCGACCTTAGATCTTGATTTGTTCTTTTTTGTTCTTTTAGGCTTTGCTGAAAGAAAGCTAATTTTCCTTTTGATGAGGATCTAGCTCGAGGCGTATGCCAATATCTGGTTGGAGTGACTCCCATGCCAACCCCTCTTGCAAATCCACAACGTTCTTTGCCACAGACCAGTGAGAGGGCATCTATGGCTGGTTAATGAATTGTTTTTCCTTCTTCAATTGCAGTTTCACGGCTAATCTAGAAAAATATATGTCAGATAAATATAGTATTAGCTGTGTTCTTTATCAATTAGCATTAACGAACACCAAAACTAGATAGAAGCTGCTAGTTTGACATTATGTACCAACTCTTCTACAACAAGCTTTACTTCTTCCCGATCATATTTTCCCTCTTTATTTTCCCATCATTTCCTACACATTAAAGATCGTGGGGGGACTTCATCCACACCAATCACTTTACCTTTCACCTATTAAAAAATGATCAACCAATGAAGCTGAAATCAAACAATTTGCAAGTATATATATACCATATTAACTAAACAAGAAAATAATAAATACTTACACGTTCATCGATAACAAAAAACTGTTGCATGAATACTAATTTGACTATTAGTAATCAAATTTAATTATTTCATTGCTTAATTAATTAAGATAATATATGAGTACACTTTGTAAAAAAATAGATATCAATTTTAATTAATTAATTGTTGTGTTCTGTGTTATATAGAAAACCACATCCTTTTTGGTCAATTAGAGTTCAATGGATTAAATTTGATTATAATATTGAAGAGTGAGTGTGTGGAGTTTAATCCACATTGAATGGCTGAATAGAGTTTTATTGTAAATTTATGGGTTTTTAAGAATAGAAGCATTCTCTATCCTAGTTGCAAATCATTCTATTCAACTATCCATGAGTTGATCAATGGAGTGTGGATGCTCTTGAATAAGGAATCAACTTTTATGTGCTTTATGAATAGAAGCATTCTCTATACTTTTTATTTACTATTGAATTTATATGTATGCAATAATTTAATTTGTATTTGGCTTCTATATTTGAAGCGTAGAGTACTTATCCAGCACACTAAAATGGTGTTTTTAGTGGTTAGTTGGGATGAATGAACAATATAAATATGACCAAAATGACGTTAATTAGAGGACCGCTTAATTGGTCTAACATGTTATCAAATATATATTGTATAATGAAAACTGACTATTAATTTTTCCGAATTCAAATATTAAATTTCATGTATGTCTCCCTTTATATCTTTCCATAAGTTGTCCTTGACAAGTGGTGTGACGTTCTTCCATTTTCTGTACTTCAGTCTCACATGTCTCCACCGAAAAGCTTGAAAACATGGGTGCATTCTCACTAAAATTTTTACCCATTTCATCAAAATGAATCATTTTATGTTTTTGCTGCTAGATCTATCCAAGTCATTATGAAATTTTGGTAATCTAGCTCTCCCCCTATGAATCCTTGTTGTTGCAATCTCTTAAACCAATCAAACAACACATGTAAGTAATAAATACTAGATTTAGAAGACATGAAAAACTATATATATATATATATATATATATATACCAACCTTCATCATTCTCGATAATAATTTCATCAGTACTTTCAGCACCGGACGATGAAGCATCTTCGCTCGTTTCTGGGTCATTATCACTAAAAATATCATCTTTGTTTCCATAGTTATCAAATTGCATAATGAAACAGTGAATTGTTGAGATTTTATCACTTATGTAAACTAAATTTTTACACGTGGAGTATATATATGAAGGGAACTGAAATTTTGGGATAATTTGAATCTTTTTTATGTTGGGATTTGAAGTGAATTAAAATTAAGGATTGAATTTCATACGAAGGAATTGATATTTCCATCTTATTAATTTTTTCCACTTAAAAATTAAAATAATAATATCAACAAATATCACATAAATAAAAATTAAAAAATATATAAAAAAGAATTTAGTAATTAATAAATTAAAATTATGATTTTAATACGATGTTTTTAATATAATTTGGATTGAAAAATTACACCATTTTAGCATTTTTCTAATGATATTGGAGTTGTTTTTAATCGGTTTGATGCATCATGCATTGGGATGCATGTTCAATCTCGGCGTGATGGATCATATAATGACACGGCTTGATTTTCTTATGTTCTTCGACATGGGACCCTACATGGTATGGGTGCGTGGCTGCATGTTCAAACTCGATGTTATGGATCATGCATTGGCCGTTTCGGCCGATTATCAATACTCCAGTGTCATGGAACGAGATGCGAGACTTTTCCTTTTCTGTGTTCTTAATACCGCAGTACGAGTGCGGGTTGTACGAGTGTGAGTCGTTGATGTAGATCATTTGGGGTAGGGGTGGTTAGCTCGATCTAGTGTAATGTGGGTCCGAGACACGAATTGATTTTCTTATGTTCCTTGATGTGGGACCCTACATGGTATGGGTACAAGGCTGCGTGCTCAAACTCGAGGTTAAGGATTATGTGTTGGGAGTTCCGACCGACTATCAATATACCAATGTCATGGAACGAGATGCAAGGATTCTCCTTTTGTGTGTTCTTAATCATCCGCCATGGGACTAAGCTACGAGTGCGGGTCGTACGAGTGTCGGTCGTGGATGTTTATCATTTGGGTTAGGGGTCATCAGCCCGATCTAGTATCATATGGGTCCGAGACACAAGTTGATTTTCTTATGTTCTTCGACGTAGGATCCTACATGTTATGGGTGCGGTGGTGCGTGTTCAAACTTGAGGTTATGGATCATACATTTGGGTTCTAGCAGGCCATTAGTACTATAGTGTCATGGAACGAGAAGCTAGAATTTTCCTTTCGTGTGTTCTCGATCATTAGCCAGGGTACCATGATATGAGTGTGGGTAGTACGAATATGGGTTGTAGATGTGAATCATTTATGGTAAGGGTCACCAGTTCGATCTAGTATCATACGGTCTCAGGCACGGCTTGATTTAATTATGTTCTTTGACATGAGACCCTACATGGTATGTGTATGGGGCTACATGTTAAAACTCGAGTTTATGGATCATGTGTTGGGGGTTCTGGCCGGACATTAATACACTAGTTTCATGGAACAATACATGAAACATTTCATTTCATGTGTTCTCGATCATCAACCAAGTGACCATGGTACGAGTAAGGGTAGTACGATTCTCGGGCGCGGATGTGGATTATTTGGGGGTAGGAGTCATCAACTCAGTTTAGTATCATATGTGACCAAGGCAAGGCTTGATTTTCTTATGTTCTTAGATGTGTGACCCTCCGTTGTATGGGTGCGGAGTTGCATGTTCAAACTCGAGGTTATGAATCATGTATTGGGGGTTCCAGCTATCCATTAGTACTCCAGTGTCATGGAACGAGAGGCGAAAATTTTCCTTTTGTGTGTTCTCGATCATCATCTAGGGGACTACGGTACGAATGTGGGTGGTATGAGCATGGGTCGTGGATGTGGATCATCTGGGGTAGGGGTCTTCAACGCGATCTAATATCATATGGGTTTGAGACACGACTTCGTTTCTTATGTTCTTTGACGTGGACCCTGCATGGTATGTGTGCGGGGCTGCGTGTTCAAACTCGAGGTTATAGATCAGGCGTTGGGGGTTCCGACCTACCATAAGTATTCCAGTGTCATAGAATGAGACGCGAGACTTTTCTATTCATGTGTTCTTTGACGTGGACCCTGCACTGGATCTATGACAATCAGCTAGTGGAGCATGGTATGTGTGCGGGTGATACGAGTGTAGGTTGTAAATGCAGATCATTTGGAGTAGGCATCATCAGCTTGATCTAGTGTCATATGGGTCTGAAACACGACTTGATTTTCTTATGTTCTTAAACGTGAGACCCTGCATAGTATTGGTGCGAGGGTGCATGTTCAAACTCAAGGTTATGGATCATGCATTGGGGGTTCTGGATGGCAACTAGTAATCCATTGTCGTGGATCGAGACACGAGACTTTTCCTTTCATGTGTTCTCAATCATCAGCCATAGGACCACGGTATGAGTGCGGATCGTACGACTGTTGATCGTGGATGTGGATTATTTGGGGTAAGGGTCATCAACTCGATCTAGTATTCTATGGCTCCGAGACACGACTTCATTTTCTTATGTTCTTCGACCGGGACCCTGCATGTTATAGGTATAGGGTTGCATGTTCAAACTCGAGGTTGTGGATCGTGCATTGGGAATTCAGTCCGGCCATTAGTACTCCAGTGTCATGGAATGAGCACAAGAATTTTTGTTTTGGGACACTACATGGTATGGGTGTGGGGCTGCATGTTCAAACTAGTGGTTATGGGTTATCCATTAGGGATTCCGACCAACCATTAGTACTCCAGTTTCATGGAACAAGACGCAAGACTTTTCCTTTTGTGTGTTATCAATCATCAGCTAGGGGACCATGATATGAGTGCAGGTGGTATGAGTGTCGGTCGTGGATTTGGAACAAATGGGGTAAGGGCCGTCAGCTCTATCTAGTATCATGTGGGTCCGAGACACAACTTGATATTCATATGTTCTTCGACGTGGTACCCTGCATGGTAAGGGTGCAGGGCTACATGGTCAAACTCGAGGTTATGGATTGTGGATCGGGAGTTCCGGCTAACCATCAGTACTCTAGTGTCTTGGGACGAGATGCAAGTCTTTTCCTTTCGTGTTTTCTCGATCATCAGTCAGGGGATCAAGGTATGAGTGCAAGTGGTATGTGTATGAGTCGTGGATGTGGATCATTTGGTGTTAGGTTCATCAGCTCGATCTAGTATCATATGGGTCCGAGACATGGCTTCATTTTCTTATGCTCTTCGACGTGGGAACCTGCATGGTATAGGTCAGGGGTTGCATGTTCAAACTCGAGGTTATGGATCATGCATTGGGGGTTCCGGCCGGCCATCAGTATTCATTGTCATGGAATGAGATGCAAGAATTTTCCTTTCGCTTGGTCTCGATCATCAGCCAGGGGACCATGGTACGAGTACGGGTGGTATGAGCATTGGACGTAGATGTGGATCATTTGGTGTAGGTGTCATTAGGTCGATCTAGTATCATATGGGTCTGAGACATGTCTTGATTTTCTTATGTTATTCGACGTGGGACCCTGCATGTTATGGGTGCGGGGCTGTGTTTTCAAACTCGAGGTTGTAGATCATGCATTACGGGGTTCCGGCCAGCCAATTGTATTCCAATTTCATGGAACGAGACGTGAGAGTTTTCCTTTTGTGTGTTCTCGGTCATCAGCTAGGTGAGCATGGTACGAGTACGGGTCATATAAGTGTAGGCCATGGAGATGAATCATTTGGGGTAGGGTCATTATTTCGATCTAGTATAATATGTATCCAAGACATGGATTGATATTCTTATGTTCTTCAACATGGGTTTCTGGGGCTATGTGTTTAAACTCGAGGTTATGGATCATGCTTCCGGGCTTCCAGCCGGCCATCAGTATTCTAGTTTCATGGAGCGAGTCACGAGACTTTTCATTTAGTGTGTTCTCGATCATAAGAAAGGGGACTACAATACAAGTGTAGGTGGTATGAGTGCGGGTCGTAGATGTGGATTATTTGGGATAAGGGTCATCAGCTCGATCAGGTATCGTATGGGTCCCAAACACGACTTGATTTATTTATGTTCTTCGATGTGGGACCTTGGAAGGTATGGGTGCGTGGCTGCGTGTTCAAATTTGAGGATATGTATTGTGCATTGGTGGTTCTACTCGGCTATCCGTACTATAATGTCTTGGAACGAGATGCGAGACTTTTCCTTTCATGTGTTCTTGATCATCAGCCAGGAGACCATGGTATGAGTACAGGTGGTACGAATGTGCAGCGCGAATGTGGATCAATTTGGGTAGGGGCCATCAGCTCGATTTAGCATCATATGTGTCCGAGGCATGGCTTGATTTTTTTATGTTCTTTAATGTGGGACTGCATGGTATAGGTGTCGTGTTTCATGGTTAATCTTGAATTTATGGATCATGCATTGGGGGTTCCGGCCGGTCATCAGCACTCTAGTGTCATGGAATGAGACGAGAGACTTTTCCTTTCGTGTATTATCAATCATCAGCCAGGGGACCACGATATGAGTGCAGGTGGTATGAGTTTAGGTCATGGATGTGCGTCAATTAGGGTAAGGGTCATCAACATGATCTAGTATCCTATAGGTCCGAGACACGGCTTGATTTTCTCATGTTCTTCGCCGTGGTACTCTACATGGTATGCGTGTCGGGCAGCATGTTCAAAGTTGAGGTTGTGGATATTGCATTGGGAGTTCCAACCGACCATTAGTACTCCAATGTCATGGAACGATGCGCGAGAATTTTCATTTTGTATTTTCTCGATGATCATCCAGGGGACCATGGTACGAGTGCGGGTGGTACATGTGTGGGTCGTGGACGTGCATAATTTGGGGTTGGGGTCATCAGCTCGAACTAGTATCATATGGGTCTGAGACGCGACTTCATTTTCTTATTTTTTTGACGTGGGACCCTGCATGGTATGGTTGTGGGGCTAAGTGTTCAAACTTGTGGTTATGGATCATGCATTGGGGGTTCCGGCCAACCATTAGTGTTCCAGTGTCGTGGAACGAGACACATGAATTTTCCTTTTGTATGTTCTCGATCAGCAGCTATGGGACCACGATATGAGTGCAGGTGGTATAAGTGTGGATCGTGGATATTGATCTAATGGGATAAGAGTCATCAAGTCGATCTAGTATCTAATGGGTCCGAGACACGGCTTAATATTCCTATGTTCTTCGACATGGTACCCTGCATGGTATGGGTGCGGGGCTGCATGGTCAAACTCGAGGTTATGGATCATGGATTGGGAGTTCCGGCCGACCATCAGTACTCCAGTGTCTTGGAACAAGAAGCGAGACTTTTCTTTTTGTGTTTTGTCGATCATCAGCTAGGGGACCAGAGTATGAGTGCGAGTGGTACGTGTGCGAGTCGTGGATGTGGATCATTTGGGTTTGGTGTCCAAGACACGTGAGACTTTTCCTTTTGTGTGTTCTCGATCATCAGCCAGGTGACCAAGGTAGGAGTACGGGTAGTATGAGTGTGGACCGTGGATGAGAATCATTTGGGGGTAGGGGTCATCGTTTCGATCTAGTATCATATTTGTCCAAGACATGGATTGAGATTCTTATGTTCTTTAACGTGGGACTGTACATGGTATGGGTACGGGGCTTCTAGTTCAAACATGAGGTTATGGATCGTGCCTTGGTGCTTCCGGCCGACCATCAGTACTCTTGTTTCACGGACAGAGGCGTGAGACTTTTCATTTTGTGTGTTCTCGATCAGTAGAAAGGGGACCAAAATACGAGTGTAGGTGGTATGAGTGCAGGTCGTGGATGTGGATTATTTTGGCTAGGGGCATCAAATCAATTTAATATCATATGTGTCAGAGGCATAACTTGATTTTCTTATGTTATTTAACGTGGGTCCCTGCATATTATGGGTGTTGTGTTGCTTGTTTAATCTCGAGTTTATGGATAATGCATTGGGGTTCTGGTCGGTCATCAGTATTCTAGTGTCATGGAACGAAACGCGAGACTTTTCCTTTCGTGTGTTCTTGATCATCAGCCAGGGGACCACGATACGAGTGCAGGTGGTATGATTTTCAGTCGTGGGTGTGGTTCAATTAGGGTAAGGGTGATCAACGCGATCTAGTATCATATATGTCTAAGACATGGCTCGATTTTCTTATGTTCTTCGATGTGGTACCCTGCATGGTATGGATGAGCGGCTGCATGTTCAAACTTGAGGTTATGGGTCGTGAATTGGGGGTTCCGGCCGGTCATCAGTACTCTAGTGTCATGGAACAAGATCCGAGGCTTTTCCTTTCGTCTTTTCTCGATCATCACCCAGGGAACCATGATACAAGTGCAGGTGATATGAGTTTGGGTTGTGGATGTGGATCAACTAGAGTAAGGGTCATCAGCTTGATCTAGTATCATATAGGTCCGAGACATGACTTGATTTTATTACGTTCTTCGACGTGGTACCCTGCATGGTATGGGTGCAGGGTTTCATGTTCAAACTCGAGGTTATGGATAATGCATTAGGAGTTCCGGCCGGCCAACAGTACTCCGGTGTCATTAAACGAGAGGCAAGAATTTTCATTTTTGTGTGTTTTCAATCATCAACCAGGGAACCAAGGTACGAGTGCGGGTGGTACGCGTGTGGATCGTGGATGTGGATCATTTATGGTTGGGGTCTTAAGCTCGAGCTAGTATCATATGGGTTTGAGAAATGGATTTATTTTCTTATGTTCTTCGACGTAGGACCCTGCATGTTATGGGTGTGGGGCTGCATATTCAAGCTCGAGGTTATGGATCATGCATTAGGGGTTTCGGCCGGTCATCAGTACTCAAGTTTCATAGAACGAGACGCTAGACTTTTCCATTTGTGTGTTCTTGATCATCAGCCATGGGACCATGGTACGAGTACGGGTAGTACGAGTGTAAGCCACGGATGTGGATCATTTGGGGTAGGGGTCATCAGCTCGATCTAGTATCGTATGTGTCCGCGACATGGCTTGATTTTCGTATGTTCTTCAATGTTGGAACTTTCATGGTATGGGTCCGAGGCTGCGTGTTCAAATTCGAGGTTATTGATCATGCTTTGGGGGTTCCGACCGAATATCAGTGCTCTAGTGCCAAGGAACGAGATGTGAGACTTCTCCTTTCGTGTGTTCTCGATCATCAGCCAGGGGACCATAATACGAGTGTAGGTGGTATAAGTTGTGGTCGTGGATGTGGATCATTTTAGATGAGGTTCATCCGCTCGATCTAGTATACTATGGGTCCAATAAACGACTTTATTTTCTTATGTTCTTCGACTTGGGACCTTGCTTGGTATAGTTGTTGGGCTGCATGTTCAAACTCGAGGTTATGGATCATGCATTGGGAGTCCTGGCTGTCCATCTGTATACCAATGTCACAGAACGGGAAGCGAGACTTTTCCTTCCGTGTGTTCTCAATTATCATCTAGGGGACCACGGTATAGGTGAGGGTGGTATGAGTGTGGGTCATAGACGTGGATAAATTATGGTTGGGGTCATCAGATCGATCTAGTATCATATCGGTCTGAGAGACGACTTTATTTTCTTATGTTCTTCGATGTAGGACCCTTCATGGTATGGGTGCGGGGCAATATCGTCAAACTCGAGGTTATGGATCAAGCATTGGGGGTTCTGTCCAGCCAGTAGTACTCAAGTGTCATGGAACGAGACACAAGACTTTTCCTTTCGTGTGTTCCTAATCATCATCTAGGGGAACATGATACGAGTACGGGTAGTACGAGTATGGGCCGCGAATATGGATCATTTGGGGTAGGTGTCATTAGCTCGATCTAGTATCATAAGTGTTTATGACATGGCTTGATTTTATTGTGTTATTCGACGTGGGCCGCTACATGGTATGTGTACGGGGTTGCATGTTCAAAATCGAGGTTATGGATCATCCTTTGGGGGTTCCAACTGGCCATTAGTACTCCAGTTTCAGGAGAGAGACGTAAAACTTTTCCTTTTGTGTGTTCTTGATCATCGGCCAGGGGACCACAATACGAGTGTAGGTGGTATAAGTGTGGGTCGTGGATGTGGATCATTTTAGGTAAGGGTCATCAGCTCGGTCTAGTATCCTATGCGTCCAAGACACGATTGGATTTTCTTATGTTCTCATATGTGCAACCCTGCTTGGTATAGGTGATGGGCTACGTGTTCAAAATCGAGGTTATGGATCGTACATTGGGAGTTCTGGCTGTCTATCAATATTCTAGTGTCATGGAACGGGACACCAGAGTTTTCCTTTCGTGTGTTCTCAATTATCAGCAAGAGGATCATGGTATCGGTGTGGACGGTACGAGTGTGGGTCATAGATGTAGATCAACTAGATCTAGTATCAAATGAGTCTGAGACACGGCTTGATTTTATTATGTTATTCGATATGGGAGCCTGCATGGTATGGATACGGGGCTGCGTGTTCATAATCGAGGTTATTTATTATGTATTAGGGGTTCCGGCTGGCCAATAGTAATCTAGTGTCATGGAACAAGACACAATGCTTTTCCTTTTGTGTGTTCTCAATCATTAGCTAGGGGACCATGGTACGGGTATGGGAGTGCATGTTGCGGATGTGGATCATACGGGGTTGGGGTCGTCAGCTCGATCTAGTATCATATGTGTCCAAGACATGGCTTGATTTTCTTATGTTCTTGAACGTATGATCCTTCAAGGTACTCCAGTGTTCAATCTTGAGGTTATGGATCATGCATAGGGGGTTCCGGCCAGTCATCAGTACTCCAGTGTCATAGAACAAGACACGAGACTTTTCCTTTCGTTTGTTGTCGATCATCACCCAGGGGACAACGATAGAAATGCAGGTGGTATGAGTTTGGGTTGTGGATGTGGATTAAATAAGGTAAGGGTAATCAACTCAATCTAGTATCCTCTGGGTCCGAGACACAACTTGATTTTCTTATATTCTTTGACATGGTACCCTGCATGGTATGGGTGCGGGGCAGTGTGTTCAAACTCGAGGTTATGGATAATGCATTAGGAGTATCGGCCAGCCATCAGTACTCAAGTGTCATTGGAGGAGAGGCGAGACTTTTCCTTTTCTGTGTTTTCAATCATCAGCCAGGGGACCAAGGTACGAGTGTAGGTGGTACGCGTGTGGGTCATGGATGTGGATTATGTAAGTTCACATCTTATGATTTGATGAGTCAAACACATGCCATGCTGATCTATCAACTTCAGTATCTACAAGTAAACATCGCCATTGCCTCAAGTCCTACAGCGTCAGTTTATAATATGTCTATCCAATAATTTGTATATTAGGCAATTATTGTAGATGAATACATAATAGATATAAGATTCGTAATCTTTGTTATAAGGATCTAATCATTCGTATTGATTAAACGCAATTCTGTTAATCATGTGATATACATGTATAAATTAGTTTATATACAACATTAGGGCAACCCCTAATGTTATCGAGTTAAGGGAACATGACTTTGTGTCATTCGTCTTTGTGAAAAACCCATCTTCTTGGTCAAGACAAAACCTCTTTTCTTGGTGAAAGGAAAAATTTGGAGAACTCCGGTGTCATTTACTTTCTGTCGATTATTTTGCTTAGATTAGTTTTGCTTTTCTTATTCATACTTGAAGTGTATCCGATGAAATACAAACCTTCAATTGGCATCAGAGCAGTTTTCTGATACACTCAAGTTATCTTGTCGAATTCAAGCAACTCCAAATCCTTTGGTCTCAACAAAATTCCTCCCTTCGATGAACACAACTTCGCCATGTGGAAAACCAAGGCCATGGTGGTTCTTGAAACCATTGACTATGAGATGAAAAATATTGTTGAGAAAGGTCCCCATGTTCCTATGTACCAAACCATGGAAAACAATGCTCCCGTTTCCCCCTGAAGCAAAACCTAACATCGAGTTATGATGACGATGACAAGAAACTACTCAGTGTTGATGTGAAAGCCCATAGCTGCTATTGGAAATTTTCTTCCATACCACATGGATCATCTCGTATAAAATTTTAAATCAGCCTAAGAGATGATGGACACACTAACAGTGGCTTATGAAGGCACCATGGAGGTCCAGGCTACGACCATCAATAATCTTAATTGAAGATAAAAGCATTTCTTTGCTCAATAGGGTGAGTCTCTTACTCATATCTTCAATATGTTTAATTATTTGGTTAATGATTGTTGGATTAGGTGTCTAAGCCCATAACTATAATTGGTATGTTCTTGACCCGATAGTAGCATGGTCCATATAGTTTTGGCTAGTGATCCATGATTGATTTGTGATGGGCTATGCTTATGAGTTAGTCCATGAAGTGTTAGTCCAAATCAATTGTTGGATCATACGATGAAGTGTAAGAATTAGGGTTAAACATATGAATCATGGAATTCTGCACTATAAATGTATACCCTAAGCCCTAAAATCGGACATCCTTGTATTCTAAGAAGAGCTAACCGATTTTAGAGTCTCATAAACCTCTATCATATTCATCTAATTGTTTATTGGTGTTTGTGACTTGTTTGAGGCATCACACTTTAGGTGCTAAGCTCTTTTAAGGCCAAGATTCTACAAGCTACTACACAAGGTAATCTTCTAACTAGTTTTTATGATTCAAATACTAACTTTGCATGCTAGTTAGGCTTCATGCTTTGGAAAATGAATATTTCATGTATAATTAGAGAAAACTTCGATCCAAAGCATTAGGGTTGTATGTGCACCATAGGGATGTTAGAGTACATAAAACCCATCGGTGGTATCGGAGCCATGGGTGCTTTTTGTTATATAGATGCAATTGTATTGTTTTCAAAGTTGAAAAATTATGATTTTTGCTGTTTGACTGCTGGATTCGACGAGTCCCCTGAGTGGACTCGATGAGTTGACTCATATGACCATGAACTCGATGAGTCAATTGCCTGGCTCGATGAGTTGGATCATCTGTTAGCAGAATTTTCGAGTTTTTGGCCTGTTTTGGATTATGATAATTACCACAAACTGTTTTGGTTCATGAAATTCGTTTTTAATGATATGGTAATGGTTATCCTCATCCAATAACATTATGATTGTTAAATTTAAAGATGATTACTTGATTTTGTGAAAAACTAAGTATTTGTAGAATTTCAAATTATCTTGATATATGAGTAGTATGAGGTTAAATTGGTAAATGATAAATTGTATGTTTATTTTTGCTAGTTAAATTTGATCTAAATAATTCTTATAAGAGTTTCATAACTTGTCCTCAAGTTATGAAATATGAAAAGTCTCATTCATGAAACTTTAACTCTTTAAGTTATGGAATTGAAAAGGTCTTGAAAAGTTTCATAACTTGTCCTCAAGTTATGGAACTTGGAAAGTCTCATTTATGTAACATAAATTCTAAAAATCAAGAGGTTTTGAAGAGTTTCAAAACTTGCCCTCAAGTTTTGAAAATTGAAGAGTCACATTTATGAAACTTTAATTCCAAACCCTAGAATTTTAAAATTTTAAAATTTTAAAATTTTAAAATTCAACCCTATACTATTATAATATTAAAGTTTAATACTTACATATATGTATAAGACAAGTCAGTCTTACCCACCGCATTCTTGACTAGTGGAGGGTCATTAGCCAAACGGGTAGGATAGGCCATTAATCCTCATTAATAAGTATAATGATATTATCAGGTAACTAAACTTTTGTAAATTCCCAATCTTAGTTACTTTAGGAAAAATGTGAAAATGGTGCTATTCCATGGAAATTGCACTTTGTACCTTGCTAAGTCGTTAGTGGAGCGTCTGTGGTTAACCGACACACTAATCTGGGACTAACAAGGGTGGCAAAGGGTAGCTTGATATTAATCATGGATCAATCGAGTGTGTGTGGTTAACCGACACATTGATCAAGTGATATGTAACATCAAGAGTACCAAGCACATTTGCATGGTTATTCACACCTTGTTTGTGATCCTCGGTATCCCAATCACAAACTTAAAGGGCA